TTCTCCTCTTTTTCCCCCTTAGATTTTTCTTTGCATGCGCTCGAAGGGGTGATTTGCCTTCGAGTTCGACTCTGGTAGGCATGTTAGTTTTTTATTGTTGACGACTCTTCTTCTTCGACTCAGGATGAGCGAGTCGGAGCCGTTGCTTGGCGATAGCGGCACTTAGCCTTAGTCCCAGTTCGGGCGCGGTCGAACTGTCGGCTGTTATGACAGAAACGCGGCCTTGTAGTTTGACCGGGGCCGGACTTTACGTGTCCCCAATCTTGATGGCCTTAGCCATGTAGGCGACTTCGACTGTCGTCGAGTCGTTTACTCACCGTAGTCGAATCTAGGTCGACCGTTGACGGTGATGGCCTTAGTTTTTCAACTCGGTGCGGGCGAGTCTTAACCGTTATTTGGCGATAGCAGCGCTTAGCCTTAGTCCCAGTTCGGACGCGGTCGAACTACCGGTCGTGATGGTAAAAAACGCGGCCTCGTAGTTTGACCGGGGCCGAACTTTACGTGGCCCGATTCTTAATTCGAGTTGGGAGAACTTACTTGAATGGCGAGGGTGCCTATCCTGCGCTTCGATTTGTTGGAGGTCGGGCTTTGCTTTCACAGATGAAGGCGTTTGGCCTGAGTCTCGGTTCAACTGTGGTTGAACTTGCTAAAGTTGAGTACGAAGGCGTCCATCCTTGTAGTTCGAACGAGGTCGAGCTCGTTGGATTTAATGGCGAAGGCACATACCTGAGTCTTGGTTCGACCGTGGTTGGACTTATTGGCGAAGGCACGTAGCCGGAGTCCCAGTTCGACTGTTGTTGGACTTTGTTAAATTTGGTGGCGAAGGCACATAGCTTGAGTCCCGGTTCAACCGTAGTTGAACTTTTTGGTGAAGGCGCATAGCCTATCTTGGTTCAACCATAGTTGAACTTTTTTGGTGAAGGCACGTAGCCTGATCTTGGTTCAACCGTAGTTGAACTTTTTGGCGAAGGCACATAGCCTGATCTTGGTTCAACCGTAGTTGAACTTTTTGGCGAAGGCGCATAGCCTGTCTTGGTTCAACCGTAGTTGAACTTTTTGGTGAAGGCGCATAGCCTATCTTGGTTCAACCGTAGTTGAACTGTTTGGTGAAGGCGCATAGCCTGAGTACCGGTTCAACCGTAGTTGAACTTTTTGGCGAAGGCGCATAGCCTGAGTCCCGGTTCAACCGTAGTTGAACTTTTTGGCGAAGGCGCATAGCCTATCTTGGTTCAACCGTAGTTGAACTTTTTGGTGAAGGCGCATAGCCTGTCTTGGTTCAACCGTAGTTGAACTTTTTGGTGAAGGCACATAGCCTGAGTCCCGGTTCAACCGTAGTTGAACTTTTTTGGTGAAGGCACGTAGCCTGTCTTGGTTCAACCGTAGTTGAACTTTTTGGTGAAGGCGCATAGCCTGAGTCCCGGTTCAACCGTAGTTGAACTTTTTGGCGAAGGCGCATAGCCTGTCTTGGTTCAACCGTAGTTGAACTTTTTGGTGAAGGCACATAGCCTGTCTTGGTTCAACCGTAGTTGAACTTTTTGGTGAAGGCGCATAGCCTGAGTCCCGGTTCAACCGTAGTTGAACTTTTTTGGTGAAGGCGCATAGCCTGAGTCCCGGTTCAACCGTAGTTGAACTTTTTGGCGAAGGCGCATAGCCTGTCTTGGTTCAACCGTAGTTTAACTTTTTGGTGAAGGCGCATAGCCTGTCTTGGTTCAACCGTAGTCGAACTTTTTTGGTGAAGGCGCATAGCTTGAGTCCCGGTTCAACCGTAGTTGAACTTTTTTGGTGAAAGCGCATAGCCTGTCTTGGTTCAACCGTAGTTGAACTTTTTTTGGTGAAGGCGCATAGCCTGAATCTTGGTTCAATCGTAGTTGAACTTACTGGGGAAGGCGCATAGCCTTGATTTAATGACGAAGGCGCTTAGCCTGAGTCTCGGTTCAACCGTAGTTGAACTTACTGGTGAAGGCGCATAGCCTGAATCTTGGTTCAACCGTAGTCGAACTTACTGGCGAAGGCGCATGGCCTGAATCCCAGTTCAACTTTTGAACTTTGTCGATCTTGATGGCGAAGGCTCATGGCCTGAGTCCCAGTTCAACTGCTGTTGAACTTTGTCGATCTTTGATGACGAAGGCTCATGGCCTGAGTCCCAGTTCAACTGTTGTTGAACTTTGTTGATCTTGATGACGAAGGATCATGGCCTGAGTCCCAGTTCAACTGTTGCTGAACTTTGTCGATCTTGATGGCGAAGGCTCATGGCCTGAGTCCCAGTTCAACTGCTGTTGAACTTTGTCGATCTTTGATGACGAAGGCTCATGGTCTGAGTCCCAGTTCAACTGCTGTTGAACTTTGTCGATCTTTGATGACGAAGGCTCATGGCCTGAGTCCCAGTCAACTGTTGTTGAACTTTGTCGATCTTGATGACGAAGGCTCATGGCCTGAGTCCCAGTTCAACTGTTGTTGAACTTTGTCGATCTTGATGACGAAGGCTCATGGCCTGAGTCCCGTATTGTGGGTATTGAGTGCTGAAGCTCGGTTTGGATTCGAGACCTTGAGCGGCTCATCCGTTGTCTTCCCAACCAGGGTTTATAGGCTGTCTTGAGGCGATTCTCGATTCGAGATTCCTCCGTGCTGGTTTCCGGCTGGAGCCCTTATCAGGGATGTAGGAGATCTCTTACGAAGATTCTCCCCAAAAGAGAGGGGGGATGGCTTCTTCTTCTTGTTTGCACCATCCGATAGATGAGAGACAGAGGAACTGGATCTCGATTCGAGATCTTCGAGTTCCATCGGCCTGATATGCCGCTTTGGCTTGTTTATGCGGGGCTGCTTCTTCTTGTTTGCACCATCCGATAGATGAGAGACAGAGAAACTGGATCTCGATTCGAGATCTTCGAGTTCCATCGGCCTGATATGCCGCTTTGGCTTGTTTAAGCTGGGTTGTTCTTCCTTTTCCGGCGTTTCTTTCCTTTTGGTCCATGGAAGAACTACGCGATTTTGCTATGAAATCCCCACAGACGGCGCCAAATTGTTTGCTCAAATGTTATCACATATCTTATGAGTATAAAACAATATAAATAAATCACGGAAAAATCATAGCAAATCGTAATAATCCATTGGACCAAGCGAAGAACATGAAAATAAGTACTCAAGGTTAGGAGAAGAAATCTTAACAACTTTTATTGATAATATTTGTTTGGTCTGCCTCTCCATGAAGAGGTTCAGAGCCTTACAATGGTGTTTTCTCTTCCCAGAAGATGGGTATATTTTTATCTTCTCTCCCTCTCTCGTGAATAGTGATGAAGAAGCAGCCCCCTTTCTAGGGCTTCCACTCTTAGTATTTATAGATGTGAGCTTCGTGAGCTGGCAATAAATGGTCGTGGCCACGCTGAGGTTCCATCCCCATGGGGGAATGAATGGGCAGTGCCCTTGTAGATTAAATCGGACAAGAGTCGAATCCTGTTATGAATAAGTGGTCATACCACTTATTAATTATGGATTAGCTCAAGACGAGATTAACTCCGTTAATTACCGTGAGATCGGATTCTGATCCATACATAAACATTTACAATAATACTAATGGTGCAGAAAAATTTCTCACTATCATCAATGCATATACTAAAAATTGTTATTCCAATCTCATATACATAGAATTATTTACAACACATCCTCATTATACATATTACTATATAGCCACACTAGAAAGCAGAAAAGAAGACAATTTTAATATTTTTAATCTCTCTAGTCTCAACATCCACCACCACCGCCACCGCCACATCCACCACCTCCGCCGCCACAGCCACCACCTCCACCCCAACTGCTGCTGCTAATCCCTCCACCGCCACCACCACCTCCACTCCAACTGCTCGTCCGTCCTCCACCACCACCACTATAATCACTAGTAATAGCAGCAGCCGTTGCAACTGTGGCAGCAGCAGCCCCTAGAATAACCCTTCCACCTTCTTTCCTTGTTGTGTTCTTGGGTGTAATTTCACCTTTTTCAACATCACGATTCGCTTGTAAAGGCGGAGGAGGAGGCGCAGAACCACCAGTTTTATTTCGAGTCATATGGAGGCTTATTTTCTTTCGGAAACCATCGGTGAGCCAATACAAAATCAAAAATAAGGCTGCAGAGCCAAAAAGTACTATGAGGGCAATAGCGTACGGTTTCATTTGTGATAACTTCTTATTTGATACTCAGCTAAAATCTCTTTATCATGCTTTTATAGCATCAGATTGCGTAACCAAGGCACTGAATTTTCTATACAGGTTTTTATAAGATTGTGCCAGATATGAGATTGAAAACTCGATAGAAATTCTGTACAGTAGACTTTTGCCAACCTTAAAGTTTTTTAAAGTATATATTTATATTTTCTTATTGCGGCAGAAATATAAAATGAGGGATAAGCTATTTTATTGCACAGACCAAGAATTTAGGTCACAATTGTGATCGATATTGTAGTTGAGTGGAAGAGAAGAAATGTGGCAGTTTCTTTGAATCTTTCTCTTGCTTAATTCCATGCTTAGTACTTAATTAGTAGATGCATGAAATTGTTTACTGAAACTATTCGTTAAGAGTTCAGAAATGACTCATCTTCCATAATTTGCTAATACATGCGATACTTAGTCTCAGCTTTAGTAGTGTTTCTGGGATGCAATAATATATTAACTTTAATTTATTGCATCTCAAAGGAGAAATACTGTAAGTCTAAACTCTAATACCACGGAGCTGTTAGAATTATTTATCTTTGGTATGCAAAGTCAAAAATTTCTTTGTAGTCCATTTTCCTTCTTTACTTCTTTATCTTTTGTGAAAGACAAAGTATTCCTCATCTATTGTGGAAAGTTTCTTGTTTAACCAAAAAAATAGAAACTTCGGTCAAAGCCTATTTTTAGAAGTACTCGGGTTACTGATAATCAAAGAAATTGATATTCTTGCAGTAAGAAAGATTGAAAATTAGAATAGCCAAGCAATCAGTAGAAAGCAAAAGTAAATAATTGTATTCCAATAATAATCAGAACGTGTCCATACATATGACATTTCTGTTCCTTATATAGTCGTCTCTAAGTACAACATTTTTTCCCCTTTATGATTGAGTCATTATGAGCATTAATGACATTAATGAAACGTTATAATTGGTAATCGTAACTGTTTCGTGAAGATTATGTAACGTTTTAACCATTCATGCTCATTAATTGAAAATCAACGAATATCCCCTTTTAACGGTCTTGGTTCATTCCACCGGTGCCTCTTTAAATCTCTAAAGAGACTCGAGCAACCGCTTCTTCTTGTCTTTTAGTCGTTTTGCTCGTACCTATTAAGACTCACGTCTTTTCAAATACTCATCTCCAGCTGTCGCTTTTCTAGTGATCCACATGTCTTGCCATGTCATCCACATAACTAATTTCACGTGTAATATTTATTTTTCCCAATACCGATAGTCCCCCCGCTTTCCAATTATTCAGCAATTGTATATTTGGGAAGTAGATCTCATTTAACGCGGCAATTTTTGCCGCCGTTTCTCACGTACCATTATACCTTCTTCTGAACTGATGCGTCGTATGTCACTTTCATTTAATGCATGTGACACGTGGCAGTCATCGATTGGCTCTGCAACTCTTCAGCGGGTTCTAGGACTTTTTTGCGGCTGCATCAGTCACGAAGTGACAGCTTTCATAATGACGTTTCTATCATTACCTTTTTTGCATGACGGTTGCTTCTGTATATAAATACATCCTTTGCCTTCACTTTCAAGAAAAAAATATCTTCAGTGTCCTTTATTCACATCTTGTTCTTGTTCTTCAATACGTTCTACTTCTTCAATATGTTCTACTTCTTCATACAATTATGTCTTCTTCAAATCCTGATCCCCGAAAAGTTCTCATTGTAGACGAACTTCCCCTTTCTTCTGCTCTTATCAGAAGTAGGAGAGGTGGTAAGTTGCGTAGTTTATGGTCAGTTTCTGTACGTGATTCTTCTTTTCAACCCAATTCTACTCCTCCATCTTCTTATAGAACTAGGGCTTCTTTTCCACAAAGATCTTCTGCTCGAAATAGAGACTCTAGCCAACCGCTTCGTGAACCTACTGTCGATGAGATTATTCCTGCTGAACTTTCCTTTGTCACAGACAGAGAATCAATTAAAAATCAGGTTACTTCTCACGATCGTGCTGATGTTTACCCTTCCCAGATCACTGAGGGTTTAGTTTCTGTTGTGCGTAAAGATTGCCATTGGAAATCTGACTTCCCAATTCTGGTCCCTAATGAGAATCAAAGGATCACTTCCTTTAAATCTGGTTTTTCCTTCGTGTATACATGTCCCTTCACATTAGGTTTTAGACCACTTATTGACCCAATTATCATTGAATTTTGCCGTTTCTTTGATGTATGTTTAAGATAAATAGGCCCTATTGTATGGAGGGCAGTGGCATGCCTTAGATATTTGTTAAATCTGGCTCAGTTACCCTTTACTTTTTACTATCTGATTCATCTCTACTCTCCTAAATTATTTCGTCATGGGGTTTACTCTCATGGCAAGGAGTAAGAGAGTCTTGGTTAGCCCTGAAGACGACAAAGACCGTGGTTGGTACGCCCGATTTATTGCCTCTCCTACAAGTGGGTTAGTAGGCGAAGAAAACATGCCCTTCCCTGAGAAGTGGAACTTTGTGCGTGAGTTTCTCTTTCAATATTTTATTTCTCTTCTCTTTTCTTTTAAAAAAAAAAGAACTTGTACTCTCATAACTGTTTTACTTTTCTTTTTCAGCGACCATGGAAATTGTTGAGGAAATTTCTAATTTCCGTGGTTGGGTAGAAAAATTATTAACAGTTGCTCCAATGGAGAAAAGGTCCTGGAAATACCTTTCAAACAGATTTGGAGGGAAAGTTAAGACTCATGGTAACTTTCTCTTTTACTTTCTTCTTTATTTTCATGTTCACCTTGAGACTTATTGACCCTTTTTCTTTACTAGGGTTTCCCATTCGGGGTGTGAGTGCTGCTTCAATCAATGCTTCGAGGCTTTCTCTATCAAAAGCTCAAGAGATAATCTTGAGTTCCTCATCAAAAAGAAAAGCTGATAGGCCACATGACTCTGAAGATGAAGAAGAGAGGGATGAGGACTCATTGGTTCGTAAGCCACGGGCTAGAAGATGGGTCATTTTAGATGACGAAGCTACTCCTCCTCCTCGTCCTGTTTCCGTGTTCGAGCCTGAAAGTGCTACTTTAGTGAGTTCTGATGAAGAGACGCCTACAACACCCCGTGACTCTACTGAACAACTCTTTTCTCGTGGATTTGATGAAGAAAGCTTTGGATTTATTTCTAAGGAGACGCCTCTTGCCTCTTTTCCAGTGTCTACTCCAGTCTCAGTTTCCTGTACCTACTGTTGTTGATACTGCTCCGCCCGTGGCTATTTTAAATTCTTCGACTGTTCCTACTACCACAACTTCTCATGCTAAAATTGGTTCCTCTAGTGGTAGTAGGGCAATAAAACAAGTTACCATTGAGATTCCTGCAGATGGTAACCTTTTGAAGAAATCAGGCCAAGCTGACGTGTGGTTGAAACCACCGATAGGCCCAGTTGAGAAGTCTAAACAGAAAAGTCACGGCTCTTTAACGTGGATGAACGATATTGTGCATTCATCCTTAAAGGTATAAACCTCGCCTTTTTATTTTATGTGATTTTTCTTTTACTAGTATCACATTTCTTTTTTCATTATGTAGATCAATCTCATCGGCACGGAGATGATGAAAAGGATTGTCCATACAGAGCAGCTGATGAATGACTATCATACTAAGGCAGATAATTGGAAAGAGCAGTACGAGGGTCTTCAACTTGAAATGGAGGTTTAGAGGAAGATAAGTGTACCTTGGAGTAGCAAGTAAAGGTTATGGCAGCGGAACTAGCGGTTAAGAGAGCCTCTACTAATCAGGCGGACAAAGATAAGAACCTTCTTGAGTCTTCATTTGCTGAACAACTTTCTAAAGCCACTGAAGAGATCAGAGATCTGAAGGACCTATTGAACCAAAAAGAAGTTTATGCTGGTGAGCTTGTTCAAACGCTCACCCAAGCTCAAGAAGATCTTCGAATGTCTTCTAACAGAGTTCGATTTTTGGACAACTCACTTGCCCCCTTGCAGGCTTCTTATGATGCTGCCTTGACTGAGAAGGAAGAACTTAAGAATGAGTGAGCATTGGGAAAGAGATTACGAAGCTCTTGAGGATAAGGCTGCCGTTTAAGTAAGTTGGGATTTCTTGAACACACGCCATGACACTTTGATGGAAGCAAGCCGGGAAGGTTTTGACTTAGCTGCTGAGATTGCAAAGATCAAAGAGACTATTGAGAAAATCCAACAAAGTCAAAGCTTTTCTTCACCCGTGACTGACGTTCTCGAGGGTGATGAAATTACTCCTAGTGAGACTGCTATTCAATATCCTTCCGCTCAAGTTACTCTTCCTGCTTCTGATGATGCCGTTCTTTATCCTACTGGTTCAGATTCTGCCCCTCAGTGAAAGTTTAAGAAAATTTGAAGTGTTGTTGTTATTTGTTTTGTTTTTTTTTATTGGTGAAACATTTGGAGGTTTACCCCTGGTCCCATTTGCTGTTTTTTGTATAAGACGAATAGGTTAGGACTAAGTTCATACTTAGTTTTAACCAAGTTATTATAATATTAAAAAAATTTTGTCTAACTTCTATAATATCTATATTTAGAGTTTCTGTTCTACTCTCTTAGTGGTTTACCCTTGCTTTATCTTTATAAGTTTGGGCTTTATTTTCCAATTATTTTAATGTTTGGGTTTTTGTTTTACCCTTTATTACTTTAACTTTTGCATTTAAAAATGCTTCATTGCTTTGTGACTCTTTTGAACAAGCATGAATTATAAAAGAGGGCCCTTTTATATACGACACTTAATGAAGAAGACGTCTCAACTTCATAATGGTGTAAACATACGAATGAAGAGATAGGAACATACACGTTTCTTTAAATAACTTCGTGAAAAGTTTTGTGTCATTCGAACTTTCAAATTATGTAATGCTTTACATGTATTTAAGAGTCATCTATAACTTTTTCGTAACTGTTTTCTTTACAACAGATTAGTAAAAAAATTCAAGGATATATCTTGCAACCCATGATTAAATATTGCCATTAACCTAAGCATTCGTAAGATTCTGAAATT